GGTGGAGGTTACGAGCACACGCAGTTTCGGATAGAAAGAACAACTTTAAGAGACATGGTCGCTCTCAAGCTGCGATTAGACCTCGAACATGCAGCTTAGGTGCGCGAGGGAATCCTAGGGAGCAACAAAGACGCTTGTCAACAAAGTCAAGATATCAATAGGGCCGGCTCCGCGCTGCGACTCTGAAACGCAATTTTTCAATTCGTTTCGCACTAGTGTGTGGTCTAGGAAGCTCCGACCCCAACAAAGCAGTGAAAAAAACATCCAACGGGATAAATTCTCTTACAGAACAGTGAGTGAAGGGAATTTCGAAGACAAATCTGCTGCATCAGGAGTCGCCATCATCAAAAACAAGGGAGTGAGCCGAGATAACTGAAGAACAAGTGCGCTAATATTTTTAAAAAAATAGTACATGAAACCCATTTGTACAAGAGATTCCATTCAAAGGAAGTTTCCATCATAAATATTGGTCTTTAGTAATGTAAATTTTTTGCAATTTTTGAAAATACAGAGAGTTTGCAGAAAATGGAATTATTATTATTTCTTTGTTGCTTTTTTTTAAAGATGCATCAACTTAGAGGTCAATAGCAACCACTATTGCGTGAAACGGTATGGTAACTATAAGGATGACACGATATGATAATGATAGGGGGGTGAAAGGATGAACACAATACAACCATGCCCGAGACGGGACTCGAACCCACGATCCTTCAGTCCGGGATCGCTATAGCACTACTGCCCTAGCGATCTAGGTCAGTAGTCCGGACCAGCTCTTTGTCGTTCGATTTTCTCCAAAATTGATTATCCCTGAACGATCTGAATGAACTCCAGGCCCTGCGAGTTTGAAACTGATATTTTGATTTTGAGGTATTCTGTACATTAGACTTCAACATCATTTTTAATTTTCTTAAAAAATGTTTCAAATTTTTATTAAACTTTGCCCTCGGACACTGAAAAAATGAAGCAGGTCTTGTTTCCTATAAAACATCTGCATATTAAAAAATTGCAAAACTTCCAAATGTTTTCGAGGTCTTAGAACAACACAAATATTGAAGATAGAAATTTTCCTTTATAAAATATGTTCTTCGAAGCCAGATCTTTAAATCAGTTTATGTATAATTTTAGGAATGCAATTTTCACTGAAGTATATTTTTACTTTGTAATTGAAGGTTTTTTAAAAGAAACTCAATCCAAAAAGTGAAATTTTGACATACTAGAACTATTGCTAGAGCTTCATAGCCTTTATTTGATGTCTGTGTTGTGAACAAAATCAGCCCCTGTCCGTAGTTATTAGCTCCGAAAGTTTGAGTGATTTTGATAGACAAACCACAGTCAAGTCTATTTTTGTAAAATAACTATGTCCTTTAAATGGAAGTATTGTCTCTTGCTTAACTTCTTGCATTATTCCTTCATATATTGTAATATAATGTGTAATATTAGTGCCCTAAATAAATAATTTGATACACAAATTTCTCAATATTTTGAAAAAAAACACTATAGTCCATACACTTCCCCGTCAATCCAATAATTCCAACTATACAGTTCACGCTTGAACTACACTCAAGCGTTCATCAGTATTTACAACAGCTTAAGAAAGTGCACAGCAATTTTCATGCTTCAAATGTCTACCAATTTCGTCAAGGGATGTTTTTTCGTTCTCCGTGTTTTTGTACCATAGTTATTTAAAAAACTTCAATTGATCTATTTAAACGAAATTTAAATGTTTTTTTCGGAAGGGGAAACTTTGACCCTTTGGCTATTCATTTTTACTCCTTTATGTCCACTGTGAAATGAGTTGTTTTTAAAACGGTTGACAAAATAAATTGGTTGTACTTGTTGGTTGAGCAGTCAAGTTACCGATAAACACTAAGTATAACTGTGTGTCTAACTAATAACTCTCCAACAAATAACTGTCCAAGAATCCGCATATTATTTAGAGGGATGTTGATTAATGATGATATTCTGGTAGATTGATACCTCACGATCTGATAGCACAAGGCAACAAGAGCAGGAACCTTACCCGTAGGTATCCTACCCGCAGAAAGGTAGAGTGCGCAACATACTCAATTTCATACGTAGATTAGGAATATTACAATAAAAACGTCATATCACATCATAGTTTACAATATATCGTTAATCTTTATAAAATATCCGTATAATATTTATAACATACTGTATCATACCTTATTTTTCTCTTAAGGCAAATACATTTAATTTGCACCTGTAAGATACGGAGAATCAATACGAATAAAATCTACTTAAAATTTAAGTATTTGTTCAGTTCATTTATGTCATTTTCATGAGATATCAACAAAATTTGGCTTTCGTGTTGTTTTTTTACCTTTTGTATTCTAAGATTGCCGTCTTTATTCTCACGTCTGGTAGTCGCGCTCAATTATGATTAGGTGTCAGTGGCCATAGTAAGTCGTGGTGGATGTTTTGAAAACAAGTCACGTGCCCCCTAATATTTCCTACTGCGCACGAGTCACCGAAAGGAATTATTTTAGCCCCTTACGTTATCGCAAGTATATGTGTAACCAACCGGGGTGGCAGATTCTGAGTTAGTCGGTGACATGTGGAGCAGTGCGTGTGACGTTTGTGTCTGGGTGCGTGTGTCTCAAATGCATGAATACATTACAGTTGTGTTTTTTATCAAGTGAAGTTTGCCACATTTATAGAAATGAAACAGTCAGATAAAGTGCAAATCGTTATTTCACATTGAAAGTGTGCGAACCAAACCGATAACTTCTGTTACGTTTGTGCAAGATTTACACCCAAACTTCAAAGGAAAAAACATACAAAATACGAAACTTGCGTATTATTTTTATTTCGAATGTCGTGTTTGTGATCAGCACAAATCATGCGCAGCTCACCAGTGTTGTGTTACCTGTACAACGGACCTTAGGTTGTGATTGTATGGAAAACTCAAATCATTGTCATTCGCTCTACCAATGTTGTTGATAATACCAACGAAATTTTAATGTCTGCATATTATTGCACAAAAACGCGTATTCCATTTTTAACTTGTTTTTACCTCGTATGAAGCATGCAAATAAAATTTTGTAGAAATTTAACCGGAGTGACAATTCGCAAATTAGTATAGGATTTGGTTTATTTCAAATAATAAATATGTTTTTATCTTTTGAACCTTGTGTGATAGAAATTTGTTATAATGATTTTCGAAATCAGTGTGATCGTTTCCTTTAAAATCACCTTCGTTCACCTTCTTCTTGATGGAGGTAAGTAAAAGAACGTTTTGTTTCCTAGTGTATTTCTCCCTCTAGATGTTGTGAATCTCGGTGATAATTTCACAGAAAACGCGAGTTTGTGATATTCCAGAGAGAGTATAATTTCAGTGATGTGGATGAAATTCAACGGAAAATAAATGACCGTTTCCCAGAACCATTGCTTAGTTGGTTGTTCACGATACTCCCCCCACATGCTGGAACGGGCGCGCCTCTCAAGGATGGCCGTCTGTACCGTGTCCGCCTGTCCTTCCCCTGATGAGGTCCACGGGGTCTTATACTCAGTGTTTTCTTGCTGTTCCTCAGATTGATTGGTTGATTACTAGTGATTCCGGGAGCGTCAACTGCAAAGATTAATTGTCCCGTAAGTGTATAGTGCATGTTTTTCCTCAGGAGGTGGTTGTGATTTTCCCCGCTGGATGGCGACATCCGGCGCCGACCTACCGTCGGCTAATAAGGTTTACCCCTCCCAGGTATCTCCCACCAGTGTGGCACCACCACAGCTGGTACAATCTTTAAGCTCCAACCGGTCTCCCGGCATGTGTGGTAGTATAGTGCATGTCAGTATAGGTGTGTGTAAGGTGTGAGGATAAGACAAGGAAGAAAAAGGAAATATCGCGCGCTGTGTGTGGCCCGTTTGTAAAGGTACTACTCCGCCATTCACCTGGTGTTGATCGGAGAAACTACGGAAAACGATCAGAGCTGCTGGCCAGTAGAATTCTCCTTCAGACAGTGACTGAACTCGACCTAGCTGACCAGCTAGGGTCGACAATCAAGCCGCCGTCGGGATCTCCCGGTCAGAGGCACTGCGGTGACATCAGTTGATGCCTTGCTCGCAACCTCTCTCGGTTTCTTTCTCAGAAGCGCGGCACGCAGGCTCCTTTTTAATCCGTTTAGTCCGATATTAGCGGACCATGGACCGACGTAGCGTATTTAACACACTGTTGTTTTTCACATGTAACTCCTTTTCTGCCTCGAAAACTTCATTTGGCAATATTTACGGGAAATTGTATTTTGATTCCAAAAATGAAAGCCCTTGGTTTTTATCACGTAACTTTTTTGTGACAGTTAAGTAATGTTTTCGAGTTGTAGTATTTACACTTAAGGAATATAAAATGCTTAACTATCAAAAAGAAGTTAATTGATAATCTCGTTGAGTAATTTGCCTAAGGAACGTCCATTTTGAGAGTCCAGTACCAATCGCGCAAGTTTTCTTGATATTCCACAACGGGCGGTGAGGACAGAGGAAGGCTCTGGTTACGTAACTGCTTAAAAGGGCGTATCAACGTTTACAATGAACGTGGCGCGCCAAAGCATAGGATAAACTTAAGTGAATGACTGCAATTACTCCGAGTCATCGGAATAGCTGTCATGTTCAATTTTACTGGCCGTGTCCCCAGCAACATCAACTATAATGGTGTCGATGACTATTTCTAAAATTGCATATTTTTGCCAATATTCGTTTCCACACTTCTGGATGTGTTCGCAAAAGTCTTTACTGTCTGCAGATGTGACAGTAGAGAATGCATAGTGTGTGAGTTAACGTAGGTGTTGGACTGACATGTCTCCAGTGGCATCATATTCCCTAAACACCCTTTTACTTTTATTCCATGGTCTATGGGATTAATGTCGCAATTGTAAGGCGGAAGACGAATAACAGTATGTTATTCGTCCCTTTCAGAAGCCATTTTGCCTATTACGATTTTCCTGCGTGTTCTTGTTCTGACAACAAATAAAAAAGTTTCATGCACTTACCCTTCGCTAAAAAATAAAAAAAAATGTTCCAAATAAGAACGTGTAATGTATTTTATTTAATAAAAGCGACCTTTCTCTCTGGAGTTTCAGGTGACTGTTCGGTGTGCGAAACCTTGAATTACTTTATTCTATTCACAGATGCAATGCTTGCACCCGTGTAAATGGTGGTATTTAGGGCTAGGTTAAGAGGAGCAAGAAGCATCTTGTTTCTTTCTCCCTTTGACAACATCCCACCACATTAGCAATGATTTTCCTCTCGCCACTATGAAGAATGTGGATACGGCGCGATGGTGGCGTTCGCGGAGGGTTTCCAGAGAGCCCTGAGACTGCCTCTGCCATAGTTAACCTTCACGTAAAGTTGTGAAGATAACAGAGCTCAAAGGCCCAAAAAGAGAGTTCTTCCAAATGAAGAAGCCAAAGTCGTATAAAAGTAAGGCACAATGAATAAGTTATTCAAACAACAGTAAGCCGTAATCGTTAAACCAAAACAAAAGCCAAGAACGTCGTTAAGTACAGGAAGGGAACAATATATAAGCAAACCACTAATTAACACACCGGCGTGAAAAATACGACGATAGTCTTGGAGGTACGACATGGGAGATGGTAGATTGTACATTGATACGTGTCGTTGCGAGTCAGGCCTAAGAATTTCAACGGGCGGTGATATTCAGCGCTGGACATGAGTTAAATATACAAACACAAATTTAATACATATACATTTAAGTTAAAAATAAAATATTTTCTGCTGCATAACTGTTTCTATACAATTAGAGACTATACTAATTATCAAAAAGAAAAATAAAGTTTATTTCAACAAAACAGTGATATATTGAATTAGTTTACATTTGTTTAAATAATTTTGTTAAAAAGATTTAATATATTTGTAACAAATAATGTACTTCAGCTTTCGGGTCAATGACTCTCATCTCGATCGGGTTTTTGTCCAGTTTCCCTGATCCATTGAGCAAATGCTGAGATGGCCCCTTGTTTTGCTTCTGGACGTAAATGTAGCTTCGCTATGGGCACGTTTTGTTGAACTCTCCTTTTGCTTGTAGTGGAAGGAGTAGAGGTAAGGGCAAGATACTATTTTGTTAGCAATGCAGAAAAATCATACTTGCTATTCGTTTACCGATGCAAATAATTTTTCTGTAACTCGGAAACGAAAACGCCTATATTTTTCAAATATTCTTAATCTTTCAACTATTTATAGTTAAAATGATGGGAAGGGATTCTGGAACTCAAGAAAACGTGCGCAGATAATCTTCTCCATACGTTAGATTTAGTATTTTACGTTTTTTTTACTAAATAAATCTAAATTTAAGTTAGGGAGCCCGTGCATCAATAAAACTTGCGCGACCAGTAGTAATTTGCCAATCTACTTGAGCTCCACTATCCCTGGTAGCATTTTTAGATGAATTACATTGATGGAAGCGCTCATCATGATCGGTGAATTCAGAGTTCGGGGAAAGAAATCCAAGTGAGGAGAAGGAAGTGAATATTTACCCTCGTTCCCAGGAGGTGGGCTCATAGACCCACCGATGATTGATTGCTCTTTATAGATTTCAATTTTTTAGGAAGAAGAAAATAATTGATATTGTTTTTGACGTGTTTTATACTCAAAATATGATGCAATCTATTACGTTATTCGCAATATTTCGAGTTATTACAGCATCTTTAGCTGGAGATAGAAAAAATCGGAACTATTCAATCGAAAGTTGAACATTCAGAAAGCATTTTGGAACCATTTGTAGTAGCTTCTCTTATTAAAATAAGAGTTTGATACATTATATTATTCAAGATACCGTTCTTTTAACATAAAACTTTAATAGCTTTTGTCATTAAATAAAATATCGATACGAGTAATTCGATTTTTTCCATTTGTAGTGACAAATTGAAGAGTGTTTGTTTAAACAAATGCACACGTATATTTTATACCAACTTATTACTTCATCAACGACGCCTAGCAATGAATGAAATCAAAATTTGCATGGTGTGCTCCGAAGGTCCCCCACCCCCTTGGTAATAAACGGGACCTTTTATTCTTTAGTATTGTTAGGGGCAAGCGACATTTTACAACTTAAATGTTTAAATATCATTAAGTTCTTTCCTAGTTTCCTGTAGTTGTCGTTTTTCTTGTTAATTAATATGTATTTTCTTGAAGGAAATCCATGCTATGTTTTCTAAATCATTTATCCTTCCCTCAAATGATGCATAATTCTCTAGTTCGGTCATTTGTGATTCGGCGAAAATTCGAAGAGATGGCTCAGGGCGTCAACTATTGTCACTGCGGTCCCTCTGATCGGGAGGTCCTAGGTTCGAGTCCCGACGGTGGCAGAGTTTTCCACAAGCTTGTCAGCTAGGTCGAATACAGCTAGGAAAATTCTACCAGTCTGCTGCTCTGATAGGTAGTTTTCCGTGGTTTCTCCGATCAACACCATGCGAATGCCGAAGCAGTGCCCTAACAAACGGGCCAGGGACGCGCGCAATCTTTCCTTCCTCTTCCCTTGCACACACGTACTCTAACATGCACTAGACTACCATACATGCCGGGAGACCGGTCGGGAGCTTAAGGGCTTGTCCCGGCTACGGCGGTGCCCCGCTGGTGGGAAAGATATTTGGTTGGGGAAAACCCCGCTAGCCACCGGTAGGTTGACGCCGGAACTCGCCATCCAGCGGGGGAAGACCACCGCCACCTCCGGAGCAAAACAAGCACTACAATTATGGGAATTATGACCCTATTAGTTGACGCATCCAGGACAATCAATCTGACAATCAATCAGTCCGCCGAAAATGTCTTCTTTAATTTTTGCAACAACTATTTTCGGAATCTTTACTTTTGAATACAAAAGAAATATTCGACTATTCATGGTTTTCAGGACATTTTTCATTAAACTTAATATGGTAAGAAAATAATTCCTTTTTTTCTTTCAACTAACGGAGGAGAACTTGCAGTTGCTATGAAGGTTACGACGTCTTCGTGAAGTAACTTTTAAGACCTCTACTGTCCCGCACACACAAAAACAGCAAAAATGCTTCTAATCTAGTATGTGAACCTAAAGGCAGATCTCTAGGCATTTGAAGATCTCTAAACATGGTCTAGATAAATTTTCCAATCACCTGCCTGAATACACAAATTTCACTAATACAGAGTATCTACATCGGCAAAACCTGACTGTAAATATTATACTGGTAAATTTATTACACTGCTCTATTTAGAAACTCGTGTTTTGTAATGTATATATACTTGCATTATATAAAGGATTATTATAATACGGGTATGATATAAAGTATTTTCATAATGGTATGTTATATTGGTATTATTATAATACTGGTTTATTTATACAAATATATACATCGAATGGATGGCGGCTGTTGCTTGTTGAGATCTTATAAACGCCGCCGTATTATTTGCCATAATATGTCAACTCCAGCCTCGCACATCTTTCATTTTATCGTTTCGGCGGTTTTCCTTCTATTCATCCTGATGATGTTAGGCGATTTGACACTGACGTCTTAGAATAGAATTGTTTGAGCGATTTGGCGTTGAAAAAGTCTGAAAGTTCTATTAGAACCCTCATTTCTCCCTCTTTCTTGGGAGACCTTGGCCTTACCATTATAAACAAATAACGTAGTTTTAGGTGAAGTAATACAAAACGCTATAAAAATACAAATTTATAAATAAAAAAATACAATTACGAAATCTAAGATAAAAACAATATATATATATATATATATATATATATATATATATATATATAATAGTATAATTATACCGAATCAACTCGTATTTTCGTATAAGGAAACAATTTGTCCCACAAGAATCCACGAGAAAAATATGCCAAGTCCGTCACTTCTAAAACCAATGGGCACCCACAGGGCCAGCTGTTGCCATAGCTTACAAAAACGTATTCGTGAAAATTTGCCACTACTGAAAAACATCGATTGATTGAGGCAGAGAGAAAACTTACAAGCTTTACTTGCGCAAAAAGCGGGAAAAGCAAACACAACAATGGAATTCTACGGGTGAGTCACAATTAATTTGGTCAGGACTGTAAAGGGCATGTAGTGCATTTTTACCTGTCGCGTTTCAATATGTTGTTGTAAATGGAACCATTCCGATCAATTACAATATATTAGGGTGGACAGAATATGTATTACGCAAAAAAAATAAACTCTCATATTAATAAGCAAAAATAAGTGTAATAATAATAATAATAATTTATTACTGCAAATTAGCGTACGCTCAGTGTAAAAAAGTACAAAAATTAAAATTTGAACAATCAATACACACAAATATTAAATAGAGATAAATGAAACAAATCCAAATAAACAAACAGGAATGAAATAAAATAAAATCACATATAAACAAGTATGAATAAATGGATAAAATGTGGCTATCACCACTCCGTACTCAACTCTTCATTTCACATCGCTTCACTTCACTTCACAGCCCTTCACTTCTCTTCACTGCATTTCCCTTCGATAACCAGTAATTTATTCATTAACGGCACATCGCATTTGCCCGCACTTTCGTTGGCCTTCACTACATTTCACTAGATATCACTGCACTCTACATTTGCGTTCTTAAGAAATATCGAACGCATAACTCGCATACTTCTCGAAAGGGACGCCAGCACCTCTGCAGGTGAATTGTTACAGTCAACAATGGTTCTATTCACAAAGCTGAATTTTTCTACATCAGTTCGTTGTTTTCTGCATTTTACTTTGTGTGAATGGTCGCCCCTACTGAAATTGCATGGCATTTCAAGGCGTTCGCTAATAGCTTTCCATGCTGGTAACTTTGGGCACAGTCGTGCTGCCTTTCTACGTGTAACTAACGATTCCCAATTGACACTCTCCCAACGGGGAGAGAACAAACAACGGTTTCTCTTCACGAATTGGTTCCAGCCACCTTCTCTCTAGAAGTAATTAGAGCGATCAAAAAGAAGAATTGTGTAATTAGGAATACCTGCATTTATTCATTTCTTAAGAAAGTATCGCATTTCAGACACGGTGAAAATATTTGTCATGAATATATAAAAGATCGGTAAAGATCGCAGGGACGGTATCGAAGATCATACGTTGTCTCAATAATGTTATTAAATTGCGGTAACACTGTCGGAATGTTATACCCTTTAAGGCAAAGGAAAAATTATTTAAATACGGGAACATTTATAAAAGTTATACATGAATAAACATAAAAAATAATCACGACGAATTCTCTAACTTAGCATTTATGAAGGATTATGAAACGAATATCGTGATTGCCTAATCTTGCATCAATTCATTTCATAAAAGAGATTCCCACTCAGCTGACTTTTTTTTCCAGAGAAGGGGTCTTCATAGAGATATTGGTAATTTTCCAAACTAACCTTACAGAAATTCTATTCAGACCTAGAATGTACTTGCAGTGAAGTCCACGAAAATACTCTTCTCCTAACGGAAGAAGTGAAGTTTCTTTGTAGAAATATAAAATACCAACAACGCCAATGAAATGTGTGCAGGCTATTTCCTTCAGTGTGTGTGTTTCTTTGACTGAGTGTACAAATGCGGATTCGGAGCTCAATAGACAGTTTTCTTCCTCCTTTTCCTCTTTTCTCCCTCCGTTCTTCAATAACCACCAGAAGCCGTAGTGCCGTATTTCTCAATTTACGTGTCGTAAACTTGCTTCCTCCAACTTTATCTCCAAAGCGAACCAGCAAAATCGCTTCTTGGCTTACTAGCCTCATAGCTGAAGGGCTTTGCGTGACATGTAAAACTAAATTAAAGAAACAATCAGTGATACCTCTAGAGACACATGTGCGAACGAAGCTGTAAAAGGAAGAAAAGTAACTTACAGCGTAAAGAAGGGATACATTCCGTGTCATTTACTGTAAAGTGAGACAGACACTGCTAAATATTACACAGCTACGAGAAGCTTTTTCGTATTTCTCTACTGTTACTATATCGACGCAAACAGCCAAATAGAGGAATGAAATGGCATTCTGAATAGCCGCCGGCCAATATGGAATTTTCAGCTGCCGGCCATTAAAGATTAATGTGCATTTCTAAACGACTTAATAACTTCTATAATGGATATCAAATAACATAATATTAGGCTTAGTTTCAACATTGAGAATGTTGTCTATTGAAGATTTTGAAGAGAACGTCTCAGGTTTTTGTTTTGCATAACCCAGCAAAACTGTTCCGTTTACGTCTTACATTAAAGTCAATGTTGAAGATTCATTATTTCGTGTTTCAATTCAATTGCTATGTTCGCGCGCGTCATTTGCTATGTTAAATAGTCCCTAAATGTAGCTCATTTTTAACACGGTATATGACGGTAATCTTTCACGGTTGGATAATGAAATCCGGCGCCGACCTACACGTCGGCTTGCGGAATTTTCGCCAAACACATATCCCCATCACAAGGACACCACCTCAGCGGGGACAAACACTAAGCTTTCGACTTATTTGGTGGTGTAGTAAATGTAGGGGTATGTAAGGGGGGAGGATAAAACATTTTTATCAAAATCAATTTATCATTTTTTACAAAAAATTATCCTCGTAACGAAAAGGTGTATAAATGTTGTTTGAATATGTTGTAATTTATTTCCTATAATATTTTTATAGTCAGAATTCATATTTTATAGGTCCTTGATAAAGAAAAATTGATTGACGGCCAGAAGTCTGTCCTGCTAATCTGTCCGTCTGAACATCTGTGGTCAACGTTGGCGCGTAAACGATTTTCTCCAAAATTCATATAACTCAACTGAACGAACGTGAGGCCCTGCATGTTTGAAACGGATATTTTGATTTTGGGTAATATTTTACAGGAAGACTTAACTATATTTTCATTTGTTGTAAAATATCTTCCAATTTTTTAAACACGTTGTCCTCGAATAGCGTTAAAGACGCTTAAAAACGAAGCTAGTATCATTTTCGTTGAAATCTCTGAACGTCTAAAAATTGTAAATTACAATTTTTTCAAAGTTTTCTTAAGACTACAATATTAAAGATAAATATCTTGTTCCTAATGAGATGTTTGGTTCAAAGCTAGATCTTAAAATAAGATTGTGTCATATTTTTCAAAAATATGAGTAGATTGCGCGGAATTTTGCGTGAAATAAAGGCAATATTTAAACAATTATCTGTAATACGAATCCTAATTTTACTTTGCATATTTTCTTCTTATGTAGAAACATATGGTAAAAAAATTGGTACCAATTTCACTGGCCTATATTTTTGAAAAATGCAAACCACTGCAAAGTACAATATTGACGAATACCGATCCGGTGGCCCAGATCGCTAAGGCAGTAGTGCCGTAGCGATCTCGGACCGAAGGATCGGGGGTTTGAGTCGTGCCTCGGGCATGATTGTATTGTGTTCGTCCTTTCACCCCCTATCATCATCATCATCATCATCATCAAATCGTGTCATCCTCATAGTTGCTATACCGTTACAAGCAATAGTAGTCGCTAATGATCTAGAAGTTGATGCGACCTTAAATAACAAAAAAAATTGATGAATGATGATATCGATTTGTTGGTAAACTAAATCCGTTTAAAAATAGAATAAATAAAGTCAAGGTAAATTATTGAAGATACAAGTAGTTTTTGCGTGATTACTGCTTGCATGTGTAACATGTTATAATTTGTTTGTAAAAAAAGTCTACAATTTTCTTGAGAGCATAAAGGACGCTTAAAAAGTTGCGTTGCTCTCGTGTTCTTTGACTCTTTGAGTATTCGAAAATGGCTTAAATTATAAGTAATACATGGAACCACAACTTTTTAAGGATCGGCTAAGCATAACATCGGATGAGCATAACTGTGCTTGTGTTGTGTAGCGGAAACGAGTTTGGCGTTATCGCGCGCCGGGTCGGCGATTTTTCTACATGAAAAGCCGGGATCTAATTACGCAAAAGTGGATTAATCTTGTTGCTATATATATATATATATATATATATATATATATATATATATATATATATATATATATATATACAGTAAATTACATCCTCTAACACATAGTGAAATCAACATCCATATTTTGTGGGTCCTTGATACAAAAAATATCGATTGATGGGAAAACGTCTGTCAGTGGTCAACGTTTGTGTCAAAACTTTTCAGACGATTTCCCCCAAAACTCATGTTCCCCGACCGATTGGAACGAGTTCGAGGCCCTGCGGGATTTTGATGTTGGGAGATACTTTCGAAGAGGCGTTAACAACATTCACAAAACTTTCTCAAAACTCGCTCCAATTTTTGATTGATTTTTTCCTTAAGCAAAAGCTTAAAACTGTAGCTTAAAACTCATTTTTGTTGATTCCTGTGATTTCTTGAAAATTTTAAAACTTCTCTATACAGTTGCAATATAATTGTACAGGACCTTACTTAAAGATCTAATTTTTTAGAATAGACATCATTAACGGAAAAATCTCAATCGCCAGTTTCGTACTTTTTGTTATTTTCTTGCAGTTTTCGAAGATACAGAAAGACCGCCGAAAATGGTACCTACGACATTTTTAAGCCATCTTTTGCTCATTTCGAGAAAAAATTAAAGAAATATTTGAAGAATTTTTTGAGAAAATTATTGTTTAAAAGTTGCCTATATTTCACACAAAATTTTGCAAAAAGTACTCATATCCTTGAAAAAGTGTAACGATCTTATTTCAAGAACTATCTTTGAAGAACTGATTTTATTCTCTTCTATATTTATTATCACTTAAAAAATCTCCATCTTCAATATTGTAGTTGTAGGAAGACGACAAAAAAGTTTTGCAATGTTTGAAAGTTTATTGCTATTGAAAGTGAGACATGCGTCATTTTTTAAGTGACCTTTGCGCTAATTGAGGGAAAAAATTCTCTCAAAAATTTGGAGACACTTTTGAGAAAATTTAGAAAATGTTTAGGCTTCATGTAAAATGCTCCAAAAAATGAAATCTCAAACTCACGAGTCCGCCCAGATCGATAGGGGAATATCAATATTGGAGAAAATCACTTGGACAGTTTAACCTAACGTTGAAACAGAGGACAGGCAGACTGGCGTTTTGCCATCAACTATTTTTTTGGTCTCACATACCCACAAAATGTGGGTTATGTCTTCACAACGTGCTGGGAGCAGTAATTTACTACAATTAGCAATAAGATTTATCTACTTGAAGAAAACTCTGAGGGTCTGCATTATCCCCCTCCCCTGGTATAACACGACATATGCACAATATCCATTGACTAGTGATGTGAAGTCTATTACTTAGGATATAATATAAAATTGCATTTACCTCTGACTCTGTACTCATGGATGTCCATTTTCGGAGTGATGGGTCAGCGTCTCTGGAAGAAGAGAAAGTGAAATGAAAACAATTAGTCTCTTCAACCAGTAATTCTCGAGAATTGCGGTGATTTCATGCAAAACGCAATTTGTAGGAATGCAATGGATACATTCTTCATTTTACATTTAAAATCTCATTTTTTTTCACAATACTCGGTTATTGCCGGCCAGAGATATCATTCCCTAGTAAAAGAAACTGGAACTGATTACAAAAGAGTGAAGTATTTATGACAGACAGACGAAAAGAAAGACGGTCGGCAGTTTTGAAAAAAAAAAAAAAAAAAAAAAAACAACACACTTTTTCGGTATCAGGGGAAAACCGTGTATTTCTCTTGAAATCTCGAAATCGATTTTCTGCAGCATTGCATAACTTTCCCTATACTACGTATATTACGCCGTATATACGTACGTATACGAAAAAGTAAAAAACGTGAAAAAATTGTGAATCTACGTTTACGACAAAAAAACAAGAACATGGGACAAATCATTTTCTTATTGGATCAAGAGTAACTGAACGCAAATCCTGATCTAGATGGGGGTCAATGTCCCAGAAGCTGAAGTGAAGTACTTACTAGTTATACTTAGACTTTAAGAGTTATACACACTGAGAGCAAATAATCTTCAGATTTTATTCATAAAATATCAAATTTTTTTGTTGGAGTGTTGATGCAGTATGGAAAATAATAAGTGAGGCACTCCGAAGGAATTTATATCACATCCAATTCACTTTGGATCTTACAACTAAATTAAATAATTATAATAAATTGACGCAGAATTAAATGGCATTGATTCCGTAACTTTTTCATATACACACACTTCTTTAACAAAAACATTTGAAGTTACTATTCAATCTTCCTTAACAGTTAGCTTTTCGCATTCCTTGATAGTCATAAAAATATTAGAAAAGTTTTTTCCCTCTAAGTAATGTTTTCCGTGCAAGAACTCTCGCATGTTAATCCCCACCATTTCCTTATCCTTCATTGCGAAGGAAAGTTGTTAATTAAACGTGCTAATTTGAAATTACCGAAAATTACAGAATAGGACAAGAACAATCCCACTCTTTGCAATATTATTCCCTGGATGTTTTATGAGGAACAGAGAAGGTTCTTGCGTACCTCAAGAAAAGCAATTCCGAGCCCAAAAAATAATAAAACTACTATTTTCACCTTTGAGTAATAAATATAATTTGTTACCGTTAGAAACAATTCAGTAGGTTTAAACTTCACTTCGCTACGTGGTAATGTTCTTCAAACGATGTTTACGTCTTGAATATCTTTCCGAACCGACACCTTAAGTTATCAGACAGTGTAATATTTACAATATGAATTTATTACAATATGAGTTATTTACAATACAGCTGATCATTGATGTACAGACTTTCAGATACCGCCAACATTTAAATCCTGCGTCTGGATTGTGATCGCTGGCAGTTGTCGAGTGACTTGAGCTATTATTTCTATAATTTTAAATTTGTTTGTTTTTTAAACTAATTCACGTAGTAT